GTGAGTGAGTGTGTGTGTGTGTGTGTGTGTGTCTATGGTGGGGGCGCTCAGGGGTCAGCAGCTCATGTCTGGGGCACTCACAAGCTGGGAGGAATGCTAGAGTGACAAAACAGATGGGATCCTTCTGCTTCTCTGTTTTAGAGACATCAGGACCTCCACCTCCCCCAATACAACTGCACAAATACCACACACTGAACTATCCCAAATAGGAACACTCAGTCTGAGGGTGGGAGCTTAACAAAAAGATGAGGTTGTGATGTACACTAATGATGTTGACATCATCTCATTTAAAAGGTATGGCTGGTTTAAATGAGACATGTGAAGACTCTTAAGAAAAGAGGGAAGGAAACTACCCAGACATGTCACTTAAACCAGTTGACTGATTCACTAGTAAGGGCTGATTTCAATGACCATGACACACGTGCAAATTCATACCTCATTAACCCACAACTACGTAAACAAAATAATGTTTATCTTTTATGGGTCCTATATTTGATAAGTTTAACGTGCACTCCAATTCAAAACAACACTGTCGTTTTATAGAAAACACGGCCACTTGTGACCAGTGAGAGACAAACACATTTTAAAAGACATGAAACACAATAAAAGACTTACTAAGGTTGAGCATGTAGGTGGAGTAAGTAAACAAAATTCGACAGGCAATATGAATTATTCCCACAAACAATCCAAGTGAGGTCGCTCGACTCGCGCGAGAGACACGAATCGCCGCTCGCTCACATGGAAGCAGTCTATGGACATAAACCACAACATAAACTTTCAAAACGTACACGAGTACGCGAAGAAGATCATAATAACAAGCGCTGCGAGCTGGTATTTTGACAATATACCGAGACGCTTGAACTAAAGTTTACATACAAGCTCATAAGTGAACGCAATAACTTCCACTCTCAAACATTCCATTTCAATCTGCTTACAGGCAGGGACTGGGAATTACCTCACAAAAGAATCCAGTGAATATGTATTTAACGAACTCAACAGCAATTAACAAACGAGTGTGGATGAGCACATCAGGTTACATTTTCACATATTCCAAATCACGCCGTGCACAAAGTGTCAATTGTTAAGTCGCCTCTCGTGATGAGCCTCAGCCCCGCATTCAGCCTCGCAGGCACCCGCGGTGACGTCACCGAGGACTAGAAGCGCTTGTGAGGCTGAGCGCAGATCTGCAGGCACACTATTGAAATGTGCGGTCTGGCACCTTAAGGAGTCGCTCGCGCTTCAGAAGACACACCAGCACTATGAACGTGAACGAGGAATGCACTCGACACATACACATCCAAACCAGCAATTACGGCTTATCGGATACACACACATAGGGTCCACTATGCTGGAATCCTGCCAATGGATCCGATCAGAACCGCCAACAGCGGCTGATGAGAATGATCTTTTAATCAAACCCAGCGACTGTTTGACAGAGAAGACGCTTATATTTACTCCGAACAATACACTATACACTTAAGCATCTGTGTTAAAATAATAAATCGTTTAAGAGTTTATTAGTGAAACAAAATGTATACACGAGTGTATACATTAAAACGGCAATAATGGTAAATAATGTAAACTTTAGTTAGGTTTTTTTTTTCTAGGTCACAGCAGCTTACACCAGTATCATTCGCTTTACCTTCGCTATTTGAAATAGTTACACAACACATTTTATCTGTTTACACTGGCCGACAAAAGAACACTGAAACTATCTGGCTGGACTCCAGCACCGAGGTTTGCCTATTAGACACATTACAAGTGCAGCGTTAAACAGCGCGGACCTCCGCTACTCACCAATAATGTGTCCGATCAGCATTAGTATATCACAACAGAGAAAAAGAAGAAGCGGTAATAATCCAAGTGATACGATGGCGCGTTTATCCGTATAGAGATCACGCTATTGTGCGCTCGGCGTACTGAAGAAGCAGCAGCTGAAGCTGTTCCTCTCGTCTGAAGCAGACGGCTGAGGAGCGCAGTATTTTCGTCAGTGGAAGACTCCCTCCTGGCGTGTGACGCAGGCGGTGACACTGCCCACGCGCCGCTTCCTGCCTTCCGCGCGGAGCGACACTCCTGGCGCGCTCGCATCCTGACAGAAAATCACTATAGTAACATGATTGAGAAAGGACCGGAACACAAAAACCGCGGGTTATGGGAAATAGTAAATGTTTCATGACCCTGAATTTTTTTTTTACTGTAACCATATTTCCTGTAAATACTGTAGCAATCATAGTACCTCAACCTCCACTGAATTAATGAGTCATAAATCTTTTGCATCATTTAGTAGTAAATCCTGTTATACTTTTGCATCATTCAGTAGTAAAACTTGTAAAACCATTGCCTAATTTATTGGTCAGATTGTTGCAGACGTGCTGTATTGACACGTAAACTCTCAGACATACTGAATAAGTAATCTGATTACATTTTATGCATTTATTAAAAAAGTTAGACTGGGGCTGAAGGCGAGTTCAAGGTGAATCACAGTGATTTCAGGTATGACTGAACATTACGTCCCCTCCTATCTAAAGCATCTCTGCAGTGTTACAGCTGTGTCATCATTAACTACACACGCCTGCATGACACAGAATTCCACTAATGCAGAATTTATCATAGAATGGTGTGCAGCACAGACGTGTTCAGGAGGAGCAAACTTTCAATTTCTAGAGAAACAGGGAGTGCTGCCAGTATCAACACAGGTGTAAAACCTTTGGGTGGAGCCATTAAAATACAGCTAGTGTTTGTGTACAGTGTATTAATCGAACACAGGATCACAGACCTCATTATAGAGGGCTTCAGTCCTCTGCAATGTTCCCTCTATTTTCTTTTCTTGATGAGCAAAACTTTTCTCTATTGGGCGGACATTTCAGCCACCTGAGCAAAAATATTCTTTATATCAGACCTGTACAGCGTGCACACAAAAAAGTGTGTAACTTTTAACTTAAATGTGCTATTTGTATTTAATTTGACCCGTGACTAAATGATGTACATTTTAGGTTCAAACTTTTTCTTTTTTTTTTACAGTATAATACAAAAGTTTGGGATCAATAATGTCTATTAAAGGGGTCATATGATGCTAAGAACATTATTTTGTGTATTTGGTGTAATGAAATGTGTTTATGCGGTTTAAGGTTCAAAAAAACATTATTTTCCACATACTGTACATTATTGTTTCTCCTCTATGCCCCGCCTTTCTGAAACGCGTCGATTTTTACAAAGCTCATCGGTCTGA